ATTTAACCATGGGGTTGTTTGTGATTCTTTGTTTTTTTTTTTTGTGGGGGGGGGGGGGGGGGGTTAATGGTACCTTACATTAGTATTGTTTGAAAAGAACAACTCCTGAAGGTTTGTGTAGCGGCTGTACTTTCACTGACATTTTTTTAAAAATTATATTCATAGCTAAGCCTTTCACTTAACTCATGTGAACCTATTTATTTTGTGACTTTGACAACATTCTTCCTTTGAGGCATCCTTTCAGTCTCAGAAGCTTAAGAGTCAAGTCTTCGGCGGTCAGCTCCCTGTCCTTTGTAAATGTGCGGCTTGCAGTGATGGATTCTGCACACAGCCTCAGTTAAGCTCTGATTCAGTTGTGTTGTGAGAGCAGGGGTTCCCTAAAGCATCTTAAATCTAAAAACCTTATTTATACAGGCCAAATGCCAGAGAAAGTGTATTCTTATTTACTGTATGCACCGGGGAATAGATCGCATTTAAAGAAGGGTTGCACATGAAACTCTTGGTTGCTGAGAAACATCTTTAGGCTAATTTAAAAGGTAAAACTGAAGTTCATTTTCAGTGTTTGGGAGGAAGAGGTTTGATTCTTATTTTAATTATTCAATTCTTTCCCATGCAAGATAACTTTTCTAGAAACAAAGTTAATAGAAAACTAAAAAAAGTCAACAAAGAGTCACTTCATAACCATATTGTTCCTTCACGGTAAATTTTGGAGTTTTAAAGTAGCACTTTAAGAGTGCATTTGGTCCCATTCGGAATTAGTGTTAAATTAGAACTCTAGGTAGTGTATATTTTACTCTAGGTGTTGTTGTAATAACTCTCAAAGAGTTATTTAGACACTGCATATTTAACACTGTGGTATTTACTATGTCGAAACACTCCCAGGTACCATATTACAGTAAGCTGGGTGATATTAGAATGATAACTTAAAATAAAAGTCCTTGTATTATGATATTCAGGGTTCAAAACACTGAAAGTTTTCAAAGCTATACTGAAATTTGGCTGATATGTTGATCCCTTGCTCTTAAGACTTTCATCAACTCAGACTCACCCTGTGTGTACTTGCAGAGTGTCTAGGTTCAGGATTCCCAAACACCAGGTCTGTCAAACAGGGGGATTGGTGCAACGTCTCAGTGGCTCAATTGCTATTTGTGGCTATTTCAATTTGAAATAGATTGCTCTATTTGTTCATATCTCCCCTGCATTAAAGGAATAGTACACCCAAAACATGATTAGCCTTCATTTTCTACTCACCCCCATGCTGAACAACACCCTGGAGTACTTTTTTGATATCTCAAATGCATCTGGAGATCTGGGAGGCTTCTTGCTGTCTGCTGACATTCAAATAATGGGTCCATGGCGCCCGAGGCAGAAAGGTCCATAAAAGTCCACAAAAAAACGTGTCAATATTCCTCCATACTGCTCGTCCAATGTATTCCAAGTGTCCTGAGTGGGTAGCGTCCATAATTTACTCGAAACAAAGTCATTTAGAATGTTTTTAGAGCATAAACAGTAGTGTATAGGATTTCCTAAAAGCGCGTTCATGAGTCTACGGAAACCGCGGCAGACCAAACCAGATGAAGTGCGCATTCAGCGTCTGCTCTGCCGATAATGCAAGCGTAGAAGAAGAAATGTGCTGTTTACCTGTGCAAAGAAAGAAACAACGAAAGAAAAAGGTCTGAGGACTTCAGTGTTGAGGAAGAGCATGAGTTCTTTGCCGAGCTGAATGCGCACTTTCATCTGGTTTGGTCTGCCACGGTTTCCGTAGACTCGTGAACGCGCTTTTAGGAAATCCTATACACTACTGTTTATGCTCTAAAAACATTCTAAATGACTTCGTTTCGAGTAAAATATGGACGCTACCCACTCAGGACACTTGGAATACATTGGACGAGCAGTATGGAGGAATATTGACACGTTTTTTGTGGACTTTTATGGACCTTTCTGCCTCGGGCGCCATGGACCTCCATACTTATTAGGACTGAAACAATTAATCGGAATAATTGTGAATAATCGATTTTTGAAATAATCAACTGATATAGTAATCAAGTAATCGTTAAATTAAAAATAATCATCAGATTAATCGATTCACAAAATAATCATTAGTTGCAGCACTATTCCATATAAAGTTTTTTAGAAGTCTGAAAAAAACGTGATTTCCAACATTATGCATATATTGAGCCTCTATGTTTTTCACTGTCACCTTATATCAACTTTACAACCATACACCAAAAAACGTGCTAGGTGCAGCTACAGCTTCAGCTTTTATGGACTGATTAACACAATGATTCATACATTCAACTTTTTTTTTTTTACTTTTAAGCAACTTGACCTTGTGCTGCTCTGACACATCAGCCATGTGCATTAACACTCCTCCATTAAGCCGAATAGTTGTTTTTTTAGCATATGGTACTCTCTAGACATTCATGGGAGACTCAGCTAAAAGCCTGATATGTCAGGTATGCAGAAACTGGGTCATTGGTGAGACCCTTTGCAGGAATCTCAGAGCAAGTTTAGAGCCTAATGGTGATAGGTGCAAAAGCTTTCCAGCTATGAAAGCAAAGAAGAAAAATGGCATATGACATCACTCGGCAAAAGGAAAAACAAATTCAGGCTTTCACATCAAAGTGCCACTAGGGTAATTTATCACTGACAGGAAGAGAAGGATGTGGGAACAGTGGGCAATGGAGAGGAGATGGCAATGGTGTGAAAAAAGCTGGCCCACTCATAACATTTCTGATTTGAAGTTATGCTCTGAACAGAGATGGATGCTGATGGATTGAAATAAACTATCATCTTATATAATTCGCCTGTGCATGTGACATAATTTCCTAAAGGCCTAATTTTGTCCCACTGAGTAAAAATTTATTGTATGCCATCCAGTTTTGTGGAATGTGCATCTTTGGTTATGGGTTTGACTCAATCTATAGTGGAAGATATACAGTACAATAATAGATAAATTGTCTGCCATTATTTTTGAAAACTAGAGATGCTCAGAAAGAACTTTTATGTCTGAATTAAGAAAATACAGTAAATAATAACAAAAGATATATTTTTATACTCTCTGGATGAACTGAAATGTTTTTGTTTTAACATTATTGGCTCGACCAGACTTAGAGAGACATTATCTAGGTGTTTACTGAATAACATTTTTAAAATATATAT